GGAGGAAAAAACAGTATAATAAAGGGCTAACTACAGACTCATGTCCGAGGTAATGCTCGTTTTGCAGAAGCATCCATGGTCTAACATTGGAAATTATCATGCATACTATGGACTAGGTGCGTTCCTCGAGATCGTCCTACCAACATAATCAAGTTGTGAAATAAAGATCAAACGGCATCTAACAACCAAATGAGACCGCTACAATAAAAAGGGCCACACAATCTTGGTCTTTGTACCTTCGATTATCTACTGAATAGTTTTTGAATATAATAAACAACATTGTAAATAATCTATAAATACATCGCAAGCTTTACTTTTCTTAAGGCAAGTTATTTTAAATATTCGCAGCAATTGATTTATTTTCTATGCTAATACGTATTGCTGAATAAATTAGTGCCCCATGTTTTCTTTAAAGGTTATTTCTTGTCTAGTTCAATGTAGTATTACTGATCTCATACTTAAATTCTTATTTTATTCATGGCTAATTTGCCTATATATAGATAGTCTAGGTTTTGAATTTCAGGTCATATCTTGTCAGTCATAAAATAGCCTGAATTATGAAAATACTTTTTATGAGTGCTTTTTCTTGGTTACACTATCTTTGCTCTGTGATTAAGATACCTGTATTTTTTTTACTTTTCCTTATAACAGAAAATCAAAACAGTATTAAGTCACGCCGGGCCCGTGAACGCGATACTCACAAGCCTCGTTCCATCATTCATCTCTATTATAAACTAGTTGAGACAGTTTCAGGCTTGGGCGAATTAGTTAATCTTCAACGTCTTACGGATAGCCTGGTGCTTTCGCTATCCAGCCTTGGTGTATCAGCATTCTTTGTTGAAAATGTTGCCGAGCTACAACTGGCCGCTCTCAAGCTTGTTACCGGTATTTTCTCTCAATATGAAGCACATCGGAAGTTGATAATCGAAGATATCCTTGCAAGCTTATCGCGGCTGCCTTCAAGCAAGCGTAACTTGCGTAGCTACAAGTGAGGGTTGTTAAACTTGCTTTCCTGGCTTCTGCATATCATATTTTAAGGCT